AATGACAAAAAGCATCTGAGTCAGGGTGGAGATCCCTTTTGGGACCGAGGATGACTGATCCACTGGGGGAGAAATGGCTGCAGAAAGACGTTAAAATAATGCCTGGCATTTATAGGAGCTGTTGTTGGTCTCGTGTTAGAATGCTGCTTGTGTTTTGTTGTTGTTGTTCCAGGGATGCTATTTATATGTGCAGGCAACTCACAGCAGCTGCGCAGGAGGTGAAAGAAGAAAGAAGGTGAGGAGTGGCTCCATGTGTTCGTTCAACTAACCAAAAAGGAGAGGCAGCATGAGAGGTGAGTGCCTCTAGTAAAGACATTTGACCCCTTGGGCCCTGGTTCCTTCAACTACATAAACAAAAAGAGGAGGAGGGACCAGGATTATTCCCTGGGGCTTCCTTTCCACTTCCCTAGAAAGAGGCCACAGGCTACTCAAGGGGGCAGGAAGAAGGAAGAGAGGACTGGGCTCTGGTGGCAGAACCCGAGGGGTGACATTAATCATTTATACCACCCCCAATGCCTCCCAAACCAGGGCTTTAGGCTCCCTGACATGAAGATATTTTCTTTTCTTTTTTTCTTTTTTTTTGAGACAGAGTCTCACTTTGTTGCCCAGGCTAGAGTAAGTGCCGCGGCGTCAGCCTAGCTCACAGCAACCTCAAACTCCCGAGCTCAAGCGATCCTCCTGCCTCAGCCTCCCGAGTAGCTGGGACTACAGGCATGCGCCACCACGCCCGGCTAATTTTTTCTATATATGTATTAGTTGGCCAATTAATTTCTTTCTATTTATAGTAGAGACGGGGTCTCGCTCTTGCTCAGGCTGGTTTCGAACTCCTGACCTGGAGCGATCCGCCCGCCTCGGCCTCCCAGAGTGCTGGGGTGACAGGCGTGAGCTGCCGCGCCCGGCCGAAGATATTTTCTTATTCTGGAAGATCCCTGACTTGTCACCACCTCAGTATGACTTTGGGAAAATTACTCAGCTTCTTTGTGCCTTAGGTTCCTTGCAGTCAAAGCAAAGGGGTTGGACCTAAAATTCAATGATGCCTTGAGAGCAAAGTCAACATCCTTCCCCGCTGGTCCCTGAGTACTTGTACTCAGTCCTCTTTTCCTTGTCTCTGATCGTCAACAAAACTGCCCGAAGCCTGGGAAGATTTATAGGATTTTCCAAAAAGGCACCCTTATTTTCACAGCCACAAAATGTCAGAGCTGGCAAGGCCCCATGACTGGGTCGTCTTATGTCTCCTCTGATGTTCAGGTTATCTGCTCTAGACTCCTGGACCATTTCACTGTCTCTATCAAATGAACGGTCCCCATGTCCTTAAACAGCTTAGTAAATTTTCCAGAACGTTTGTTATCAGAAGTGTTACCATTCTCCACCTTAAGAACCACTGATTTTTACTGAGCACCTACTATGTGCTAGCTACAGTCTTCATGCCTGCCCTGGTGAGCTTCGCGTTCTCTTTTCTTAACATGCACAACTGCGTTATTTGATCTCTTCGATGTTTACCTATATTGGAGCATTACTGTAAAAGTTCCGTCATCTCAGAAACACAGCCGAGCTTCTGAAATCTAGCTCTTGCACACCCCCAGTTTAATGATCAGAACACAGATACAATGAAACCACCACGCCTCGAAGGGGTTTGATGAAATTACAAAGTTAGGATTTTCTCCGAGGCTTTGAGCTCCAAAGATCGGACAAAGATCTGTCCCACCGAACTTCACACGAGAAGAGGGCAAAAACCCTGGAAGTCCACGAAAAATGAACGATGTTTTTAATGCCGTGGTTTGCTTAGGAAGGTGAGAAGACAATGACTCCGACGGAAAGTGCTCGTTGAAGTCATCGCTGTCTCGGCATCAAATTAATATACTCGACTCCCTCCCCCCACCCCAAACATAGAATTAAGTGTTGGCCGCATTTCCCCACCCCTGACATTGAGCAGGAGGCTAAGCCTGCAGGACTTTTCAGTTTCTCTTTCCCCAGTTCTAGCTTATAAGCCAACGGGAGACCAAACAGCCCCTTGGAATTTGAAGTAATGAAATTTGAGCTATGTGCCTGATTTGAAGGAGACAGAAACAACAGACAATGGGCAAGGCTGGCTGATTACCAAAGAAATGACAGCAAGAAAAGCAAGTGAAGGGAATTCGGGATGCACAGAAAAGGAAAAGAGACAGGGATAAGACAGGAGTGGAACCTAGAATGAATGGTAGCTTTTCACGATAAGGCCAGGAGCCCCTGAGAATCAAATGAAAACTACAGACCAGAAAAACACACACATAGACACACAAGTTTTGCAGACCATTTCAGTGCATTTGTGAATCCCAACTACGGCTTCCAGCCTTAGGACCCATCTGTTCTAGATGAAGAGTTTCTCACGAGATGTCAGAAAATTAGAAGAAAGACGGTCTTGTTGTGAGCAGGGAGCATTTACAATCATCCAGTCGACAAACCGACGTATTGCATGGCTGCCTTCGACTACACACTAAACGGTGCACGAGCTTCCCTAAGCTGTTTCAAGAACCATGTTATTAAAAAAAAAAGGGGGGGGTGTTTACGGCCCCTTCCTGCCAGCAAGGTCGAGCCAGCCCTAGCCAGCAAGCCAGCCCCCCGGGGAGCGTGAATTGGCACAACTACTTTGCAGGGCAATTTGGCAGCATTTCCTGAGGCTGAAGGATGCATAAAGCACAGACTCAGCAGCCCCACTCCTGGGTATACGCCCTGGAGACATGCACTCGCAAGAAAGAGGGCCACAGCCTGGTTCAAAATAGCCCCAAAGCTGGGAACAATCCAAATGGATAAATACGTGGTAGAATATGCGTGCCGCGGAATACTATACAGCTGTGAAAATGGATGAATGAGACCTACTCGCTAATCAGATTACTTTCCTGTTGAGCACAAAAGGCAGGTTGTAGAATTTAAAAAAATGTTTCTCACTGCAGAGAAACATTCAGCTTGCAAAACAGTACCATATATTTCTTAGATACTTAAATAGTCGATGTGTAAATACATATACGGAAATGACAAACACGGAATTCAGAAACGTGTTTCTGGATAAGGGAGAGAGAGTAACAGGGTCAGGAGAGTGGGGACTTGGGCGTGGGAGAGGTTGCATTTCGATGGCAGATCACTCCATCACCTCCCTACCCTCAACTCTTCCTACTCTCTCTGTCACTTGCTCTAGCCACATGGCCCTCAGCCTACCAAACAGCTGGGATGACGGACGTGTACACCACCATGCCTGGCTAATCTTTTATTCAGCTTTTTTTATTTCTGTAGAGACGGGGTCTCACTATGCTGTCCAGGCTTGTCTCAAACTCCTGACTTTGAGAAATCCTCCCACCTCGACCTCCCAAAGCGCTTGGATGACAGGTGAGAGCCACTGCACTCAGCCAAGGCCTTATACATTTTTTTAATCAACAACAACAACAAAGTCAGCAACTGGGCTGTTTCCTAGATGAGCTTCCTGGCAAGGTAAGAGAAAAGTGCCCAATGCCATGGTATGTCCCTGGAACCCGCCGAGGTCCCAAGCCACAGGACTGTGGGCACGGCCAATGGAGGTCCCGCAGTGGACACCCAAGCTCATGAGAGCTAGCCCAGAGTCCTCGTAGCAGATCGCTCAAATATGAACGTCTCTACAGAAATAGCCCGACACGACACAGCTCTTTCTGTGAGGAGCACCAATGCTCTGAGACAAATGTGCATTGCGAGGTCCCCAACAAAGCGTGGGTGCTACGACCCGTGACATCCACCAAGAGAGACAGGACCTGAAGCAGCCACAGAGCCTACGAGGGAACTACAATCCCATCAAGGACTACCTTGAAGGTGTCCCAATGAATAGGGGTCTTAGAATAGAAGACACACAATTAGCTCCAAGGACAGCAGAGAAGGAACCAGCAATCAGTACAAGATGGTAGTGTCCGTGCTAGAATTTGACAAAGGTCTTTGTGGTCTCTGCCAGAGACTAGTTGGCCGTTCACCCATCGTTTCCTTTTCCTCCTAAGCACAACTGGACATCTCCCAACTTCCCCTGCAGTGACATTCCCTTGCGGTGGGACCAAGTTCTAGCCGATGGATTATCAATGGACCAGGTATGGGCCATGTCCCTTCCAGCCCTGTAAAACTTCCCAAGTATCACCTTCTATACTCGTTTCTCTTCCGTGGTTTGATGCAGACAAGCACGGAGTTCTCGGAAGCTGTGGGTTGAGAGGGAAGGAGCCACAATACTGCAGGGGCCTGGGGCCCTCAATCATTCTGGAGGAGATAAGATTGCCAACTAAGAACAACTGTTTCGGGCTTCCGATGAGTGAGAAATAAACCCTGGCTGTCTTTCAGTCATTTACAAGTTTTAGATCTTTTGTTATAGCATCGAGTGTTACCTTACACAGGGTCCTTGGAGAAGAGCGTAAACACATTTCAACCGTGGTTCATCGTGAAACCTCCTTGAAGACGGGAACTGTACCGTATTTAGATTGGTTTTCTCCATAATCACCACCACAACCCCTTGCACCCGGAAGTCCTCAATGAACATTGACCAACTTGAAACAAAGGCAAGATAATCCCCAAGCCAAGCAAGCGTCTCACGCACGTGCAATGGTTAAAACTTTGAGTTCCGGAGTCACCTAATCCCAAGCTCATATCCCAGGTCCACCAATTACGAGCTGGGTGACCTTGGGCAAGTTTCTTTCTGCGCTTCGATTCCTGGGTGGTCAGAGGGGAATATTAGTGTCTCCTGATCCACTGGGCTGTTGTGAGGATCAAATGAGAGGGTGCACATAGAGCGTCTTGGACGCAGCCAGCTACGATGAGCTATTATTTTAACCGTAACAGAAAACATCTACCGTGACACAGGGCCAGATGCGGACGGCGGCGGCAGGGAAGAAGGCGGATTCGCAGGGAAGGAGGCGACGCAAGCTCGGCCCTCCCGAGCCCAGCCGGGACCACGCCAACCACCGGCCGCGCGGCCTCTGGGCACGCGGGGTCTGGAAGGCACGGCCACACGGGCCACTTACCCCGTTAGCACCACCACGAAGTCCATGACGTTCCAGCCGTTCCTCAAGTAAGACCCTTTGTGGAAGGCGAATCCAAGGGCGATGATTTTAATCCCAGCTTCGAAACAAAAGATTCCAATGAAGTATGGTTCCGTGTCATCCTGGAAGGGGCACAAGGCAAGGTTAGCGGCTTGGGCTGGGCAGAGGGTCGCAAGACCAAGGGACCAGCCCACTTGCAGATCAACTTCCTCTAACTTCCCTCCACCCCCCATGCAAATCGCCAGGATTCTCCCGTCTGAAGACTTTTGCAGGAGAGGCGGAAGCTCAGAGAAGACCCCCTCCGCCCTTCCTGCCGCCCAACCTCACCCCCCACGCGGCCAGGCAGCCTTGTTTGTTCGGCCCTGCGCCCTCCAACACGGCAGCCACGGGCCCCGCGTGGCTCTCGCGATTAAAACCGATTCAGGCCGGGCGCGGTGGCTCACGCCTGTAATCCTAGCACTCTGGGAGGCCGAGGCGGGCGGATTGCTCCAGGTCAGGAGTTCGAAACCAGCCTGAGCAAGAGCGAGACCCTACCACAAAAATAAAAAGAAAGAAATTGGCCAACTAATATATATAGAAAAAATTAGCCGTCTCTACTATAAATAGAAAGAAATTAATTGGACAACTAATATATATATATATAAATGAGCCGGGCATGGTGGCGCATGCCTGTAGTCCCAGCTACTCAGGAGGCTGAGGCAGGAGGATCGCTTGAGCCCAGGAGTCTGAGGTTGCTGTGAGCGAGGCTGACGCCACGGCACTCACTCTAGCCTGGGCAACAAGCGAGACTCTGTCTCAATTTAAAAAAAAAAAAACAAAAACGATTCAAATGTAATAAGATATAAAGATGCGGTTCTACAGTCGCATTTCAAAGTGGCAACCATACCGGACAGCACCGGTGGCAAACATTTCTGTCGCTGCAGAACGTTCTGCCGGGGAGCGCCAGTTTAGAGAGCTCGCTTATCGCGCACGCAGAGCACGCGGGCGCTCTCGAGGTGAGGGCGTGCGTGCTCACTTATGGTCACACGCAGAGCACGCGGGCGCTCTCGAGGTGAGGGCGTGCGTGCTCACTTATGGTCACACGCAGAGCACACGGGAGCTCTTGAGGTGAGGGCGTGCGCGCAGGCCTCACGCCCAAAGCCCAGCCCGGCGGGTGCGGGCGGCTCTCAGCCCGCAAACACCAGCTCGGACAGTCGGGCTTCACAGGATTGGAGTGACACTCCGACACTGGTTGGCGAGTGACCAGTGTCCCCACCTGCAGTCCCGCTGCAGAGCCGCCCACTGGTTCCGGCTTCCTGCCCACAGTCTACAGTGGCAGAAAGTCAGCCGCGGCCTCTGCTCCGGCGACCCGCACGCTGCCGTCTGCTGCGGCAGCCTCCTCTCTCTTCTTTCTTTTCTCTCTCTCTCTCTCTCTCTCTCTCTCTTTCTTTCTTTCTTTCTTTCTTTCTTTCTTTTCCTCTCTTTCTCTCTTTCCTTTCTTTCGCTTTCTCTTTCTTTTTCTTTCTTTCTTTGTTTCTTTCTTTCTTTTCCTCTTTCTTTTTTCTTTCTTTCTTTTGCTCTCTCTTTCTTTTCCTTTCTTTCTTTCTTTTTCTTTCTTTCTTTCTTTTCCTCTCTTTCTCTCTTTTCTTTCTTTCTTTCTTTTCCTCTCTTTCTCTCTTTCCTTTCTTTCGCTTTCTCTCTTTCTTTTCCTTCCTTCCTTCCTTCCTTCCTTCCTTCCTTTCTTTCTTTCTTTTCTTTCTTTCTTTCTTTCTTTCTTTCCCTTTTTCTTTTTTCTTTCTTTCTTTCATTCTCTTTCTTTTCCTTTCTTTCTTTCTTTCTTTCTTTTCTTTCTTTCTATCTTTCATTCTTTCTGTCTTTCATTTTCTTTCTCTTTCTCTCTCTCTCTCTCTTTCTTTTTTGAGACAGAGTCTCCCTGTTTTACCCTGGGCTAGAGTGAGTGCCGTGGCATCATCACAGCTCACAGCAACCTCAAACTCCCAGGCTCAAGCGATCCTCCTGCCTCAGCCTCCCGAGTAGCTGGGACTACAGGCACGTGCCACCACGCCTGGTTAATTTTTTCTATTTTTGGTAGAGATGGGGTCTCATTCTTGCTCAGCCTCTTGCTCTGGTCTCGGACTCCTGAGCTCAAGCAGTCCTTCCACCTTGGCCTCCCAGAGTGCTAGAATTATAGGCGTGAGCCGCCGTGCTGGGCCAATGGCAATGTTTCTTAAGCTTTAATCACTTCATTCTGCCTTCATAATTTTTTTCTGCATCAACTTACTATTGGCAACACATGATTTTGCTTACTGTTCTTTCAATGGACTTTTTTTTTTTTTTTGAGGCAGAGTCTCACTGTATTGCCCAGGCTAGAGTGCTGTGGCACCAGCCCAACTCACAGCAACTTCACACTCCTGGGCTCAAGTGATCCTCCTGCCTCAGCCTCCCGGGTAGCTGGGACTACAGGCATGCAGCATGGCTACATGCCCAGCTAATTTTTTCTATTTTTGGTAGAGACTGGGTCTTGCTCTTGCTCAAGCTGGTCTCAAACTCCTGAGCTAAAAGGATCCTCCCACTTTGGCCTCCCAGAGTGCTAAGATTACAGGTGTGAGCCACCGTGCCCGGCCTCGATGGGCATTTTTCTTTTTTTTAACTGAGGCTCATCTTAAGTGAAAACAAAGAAACTTTTGACATCATAGCTTTGCTAGGCTAGTTATGTTTTTGAGAATACTATGATATTTTGACATATACATATTTGGTCTTTGTCCCCATTTCCTGGCATACAACTCCTAAAATCCTTGGCATCTCCAAGGCGGTGTCTTGTTGCAGGCTAATAAGTTGACTGATGGCTGCCAGCTGTCCCCCTGCCCTGCTATCTCCAGAATGGGGGCTGGTCACTGGGGAAACCAAGGCAGGATTGGAAGGTTGGGATTTTCAGCCCAACCTTCCACCCTCAACCTTTAGGGGCTAAAGGTTAGATGCATCATCAATAGCCAATGATTCAATCAATCATACCTATAGGATGAAGCCTCCATAAGTACCCAAAAGGACGGGGTTTGGGGAGTTTCCAGAGAGCTCAACGCATGGAGGTTCTTGGAGGGTGACGTGTCCAGGGAATGCACGGAATTTTCACGCCCCTTCCTCTCTACCTCACCCTGTGCACCTCCTCATCGGTATATTTTGCAGTGTCCTTTATAATAAACCCAAAAATATGCTTCCCTAAATTCTGTAAGCTGCTCTGGCCAATTAATTGGATCCCAAAAGGGGGCTGTAGGAATCCTTATGTAGAGGTGGTTAGAAGCACAGGTAAAAACAACCTGGAGCTTGCAACTGACACCAGAGTTGGGGGCAGTCTTGTGGGACTCAGCCCTCAAGGCCCTGGAATCTGGCGCTGTCTCCGGGTAGACAGTGCCGGAACTGAGTTGCAGGACGCCCAGCCGGTCTCTACTGCAGAACTGATTGCTGCCGATAGGGAGGAATCCCCACACATCTGCTGTCAGAAGTGTGCTGTGAGAATATAATGGGGGAAACTGAGTTTGTCTCTTCTACACATATAGACTATAATACACGGCCATTAAAAAAAAAAAAAAGTCTTGGCCAGGTGAGGTGGTGGTGGCTTATGCCTGTAACTCTAGTACTTTGGGAGGCTGAGGCAGGAGGATTGCTTGAGGCTAGGAGTTTAACACCAGCCAGGGCAACATAGTGAAGCCCAGTCTCTACAAAAAAATGTAAAAATGAGCTGGGTGTAGTAGTACGCGCCTGTAGTCCCAGATAATTGGGAGGCTGAGGCGGGAGGATCACTTGAGCCCAGGAGCTTGAGGCTGCAGTGAGCTATAATGACACTACTGCACTCCAGCTTGGGTGACAGAGCAAGACCCTGTCTCTAAAACAAAAAATAAATAAGAAAAATAAAAGTCAATAGAAAATTAAAAAAAAAAGTCTTGAGGCCACCAATGTTTTGTGGGTTAGTAATGAGTGGCTTTTGACACCCCCTTCTCCCGACAGCTGAGCTATTACGGCCAGTTCTGGGCAGGTGAGAGACAGGAAAGGTGTCCCTCACGGCTCGGTTAGAAGGCCAGGAGGAGAATGCAGGTCACTGGGGCGTCAGGAGGAGTCTTAGTTTCTGGCACCATAGAGCTCCACTGAATGAGCAACTGAACCTGGAATGTCCTCCAACACTGATGGCCACGTGTAAGCAACACAGGGGAGGCCGGGCACGGAGGCTCACGCCTGTCATCCTAGCACTCTGGGAGGCCGAGGTGGGCGGATTGCTCCAGGTCAGGAGTTCGAAACTAGCCTGAGCAAGAGCGAGACCCCGTCTCTAATATATATAAAAAGAAATTAATTGGCCAACTAATATATATAGAAAAAATTAGCCGGGCATGTGGCGCATGCCTGTAGTCCCAGCTACTCGGGAGGCTGAGGCAGGAGGATCGCTTGAGCCCAGGAGTTTGAGGTTGCTGTGAGCGAGGCTGATGCCACGGCACTCACTCTAGCCTGGGCAACAAAGCGAGACTGTCTCAAAAAAAAAAAAAAGAAAAGAAACACAGGGGACAGAGGAACAAGCTAAATGACATCGACCAGTTTCTACAGCAAGTCATGGACGTGGGGTGAAAGGTCGCTTTAGATTAAGAGTCTTACACAACATGATGATTTTACAAATATTCACGCTGTTAATGAACAGCAATTAACAGCGTTTAATGGTGGCAATGTGGCAATGTAAGAAAATGTCTGCGTGTTTAGCAACGCAGACTTAAGGATGTGGCGGTGAACTGACTCGCTGCCTGCAATGCACCTCGCAGGCAAACCAAGGACATTAAATGAGGACGAGGGCATGAGGCCGAGCCTCGACCCCCGGCTGAATTGGGGGGATGGGTCTGGGGGGGCACGGGTGCTCACTGAACTGCTGTTGCCAGTTTTGTGCACGGTCAAAACTTTTCAGAAGAATTCGGTCTTGAATATGGGACAAGGTGGCCGCTTGCCACCTGGCCCCACCCCGGCTGACACCAGGTCTGCTGCGTGGCGAGCGTGGGGAACGCAGAGTGAGGACGTCCCCACCCCCCGCCCCCGCCTCCACTGTCAGGGTTCACGCATCGCGGGGCTTCCCGCCACCTGGCTCTCGGCTCCTCCACGACTGACAGCCCCCTGTGCGCCACACTCAGCCGCCCCATTCGGCGTCCCCCTGAAGCCCAGGAGAACCTCCCCGCCCACCGCGCACTCACCAGCCGCTCCGACATGGGGGTTTTGTCGTCATCCGGTAGGTGTTGCTCCAAGGCGAGGACGATGCAGTTTGCTATGATGGTGGCTAAAATCATGTATTCAAAGGGAGTACCGAGGAGTTAAGGAAAACTCTCTGCAGACCGAAGGGAAGAGGGAACATGCTTGGGGGTGCGGGACACCCGACTCCCACTGGCCCCGGCCACCCATCTCGAGCCCTCCAACTGTCCCCTGACACGCCGGTCCCTCCACGTCCCAAACCTGGAGCACTGTTACAGGGAAATGTGGATATTCACCTTCTGTCCCACCTCCAGCATCCGTTGAACAAGATTTTGAGTTTTTAGAATTTTTTGTTTTATTTTTGATTTTTACAGACAGGGTCTTGCTCTGTTGCCCACACGCCTGTGACCTCGAGCTCCTGTGCTCAAGTCATCCTCCCCCTTCAAGCTCCTGAGTAGCTGAGACTACAGGTGCATGCCGCTATGCCTGGCTAATTTAAAAAAAAAATGTATATTTTTTAGAGACAGGATCTTGTTCGCTATGTTACTCAGGCTGGTCTCGAACTCCTGGACTTAAAGTGATCCTCCCACTTCAGCCTCCCAAAGTGTTGGGATTACAGGTGTGAATTAGCATGCCTGGACTGAACCAGTATTAATTAAGTACCTACTGTGTGCCAGACCCTGGTTTTGGCACTAGGGACACAACTGAGAGGAAAACAGGCAAAAATCCCTGCTCATGTAGAGAAGCAATTAAGATAACAATATCACATATACTGCATTCTATAGTAAGACGGTGACTGTTATAGAGAGAAAGGGCAGAGAAGGGGGTTGGGGCTGTGACTTTAAATTAGACCTTGTCAGAATTTAAAACTTTTGTGCACCAGAGGACATTATCAAAAAAGTCAAAAGACAACCAACAGAATGGGAGAAAATATTTGCAAATCATGTAGTTGATAAGGGTCTAGTATCCAGCATACATAAAGAGCACTTACAACTCAACAACAAAAATACAAACAACCCAATTTAAAAAGGGGTAAAGGGCTTGAATAGACATTTTCCCAAAGAACATAGACAAATAGCCAATAAGCACATGAGAAGATGCTCAACATATTAGTCATTAGGGAAATGCCAACCAAAACCACCAAATGAGATACCTTATCACACCCACTGCCATACCTAGAATAAGAAAGAAAGAAAAAAAAAAAAACCCAGAGAAAATAGGAAGCAACGGTGAAGATGTGGAGAAATCAAAACCCTCACGCATTATTGGTGGGAATATAAAATGGTGCAGCTACTGTGGAAAACAGTTTGGTGGTTCCTCAAAAAAGTTAGACATAGAATTATCCTATGATACAGTAATTCTACTCCAAGGTATAAACCCAAAAGAACTGGAAAACAAACAGATATTCATACACGATTGTTCATAGCAGCACTATCCATTCACCATAGCTAACGGGTGGAAACAACCTAAATTTCACCAGCGAACGAATGCATGAAGAAAATGTGGTATATCCATATAATGGAATATTATTTGCTCATAAAAAATGGAGAACTGAGACATATTCCAATATGGATGAACTTTGACAACATTATACTAAGGGAATGAAGCCAGATGCTGAAAAGGCCACAGGATGCCTGACTCCATTTACACGAACAGCCCAGATCAGACAAGTCCACAGCGACAGGAAGCAGATGAGAGGCGGGCAGTGGCCGGGGGAGGGGAAAAAGGGAATGACTGCTCAGTGTTTTGGAGGTGGATAGAAGTGACAGCTGCAAAACGTTTCTGAATGTACTAAATGCCACTGAGTTAGTCAGTTTGAACCTGTGGTCCCCGACCCCTGGGCTGGTGACTGGTCCCAGCCCGTGGCCTGTTAGGAAGTGGGCCCCACAGCAGGAAGCGAGCGGCGGGCGAGCGAGAGAAGCTTCGTCTCTGTTTACGGCCGCTCCCCATCCTCGATCGCCGCCCGAGCTCCTCCCCCTGTCGGGTCACTCCCTGCCTCCCGTCGCCCCCAGATGGGACCGTCTAGTTGCAGCAAAACAAGCTCAGGGCTCCCACGGATTCTGCATCATGCCGAGTAGTGTGATTATTTCGTTATATGTTACAGTGTAATAACAATAGAAATAAAGTGCGCAATAAATGGAATGTGCTTGAATCACCCCGAAACCATCCCCTCCACCCACCCTGGTGCATGGAAAAATTGTCTGCCATGAAACTGGTCCCTGGTGCCAAAAAAAAGGTTGGGGACCTCTGGTTTAAATGGGTAAGCGTGTTGTGTGAATTTCCCCCCAACAGAAAAATAACGTGGCGGCCAGGGCGGGCCTCTGAGAAGTTGGTGTCCCAAAATCCGGCAGAGGAGGGGGACAGTTCACGGAGCTGTCCTAGGTGCTGCGTCCTTCCCTCCGCTCTCTCTCCCGTTTGCACGGGCGGGCGCACTCCTCCCCGCGTGCTGGGGACTCTCGCCAGGGTTGACAAGGTTCCCATGGCGCCCACCGGAGGGTCAGTGTGGGGGAGGGCCCGGCCGGTCGCTGCATATTGGCACCCGGCCTGCCGATTGGTCAGCGAATGGCAGTGACCCCTGACCCCTGCACCGGACCCTCAGGAGCACCCCCACGCCAACAGGCTCCATATACGGACCTGGCCACCTCCAAGAAGGAGGGTTAGGCACGGAGAAGTGACGTTCTAGGGAGAAAGCCACAGGGTACTGGTGACTCTGGAACAAGATGTCCCACCCTCGGCGCTCCTGGTGTCGGGGGCTGGAGGGAGCATTCTCCGAGTGGGGGCGGCCTCAGCACTGCAGATACTGAGCAATAGCACCGGCCTCTACCCTACAGATGCCAGCAGCTCTCCCTCCTCTCGGGTGACAACAGCCTACAGTGCTAAGACACTGCAGAACGTCTCCTAGGTACACTGAAACCCACCGCTCTGTAGCGGGACCAATCAGTGTATCTTAGCAGGGTAGTCCCAGCTACTTGGGAGACCAGGGCAGGAGGATCACTGGAGCCAGGAGTTTGAGGTTGCTGTGAGCTACGATGATGCCACTGCACTCTAGCCGGGGTGACAGAGCGAGACACTGTCTCAGAAAAAAAAAAAAGAAAATAGCATGTCCTAGTAAACTTGGTTATGCTAAACCCTTCGACTCCCCTTAGCTTTCTCCTTTGGAAAATTAATTGACTTCAGTCTCTCTTTCTTGCTTAGAGTTAGGTCCAAACCTAACCATCTTGGGAGCTCCATGAAGCCATCCCTTCTAGGCCGGATGGGGACTTTAAAAAGCATGAACCCATTTTCCAGGTGTGAAAACAGAGTCCGGAACAGAAAACCTAGCCGAAAAGTCTCAGTAAGGCAGGAAAACGAGGTGTCCCCTGTCACCAGCGTCGGCCCTGGCCTCCCGCCGAAAGCAGCTGACGCCTCGCTCCACGCACACTCTGCAAAGCAAATCCCAGACTCTTGGGGCAATTCGGGGAGCCCGGGGACAAAAGCCGGCCCTGCAGACGGACGATCATCTCTGACTGGCTTCCCGCCTCCGAGCGGACGGTCGCCAGGAGACCCGAGAACAAAGCTGGGCCGTGATGCACAAACACTCCGCGCAGCCGGGAACGCAGGAGACAACATTTGTACACAGAGAGGCACCGCCAAGCCCTTCCCCGGTCTCCCGCCGCCATGATTGGAATCTGACGTCGCCTCCCCTCCCTGCCAGCTCAGCCCCCTTCCTTACTCACTCCTGCCACCTCGCTCCTCTGGTCCCCTGGCCTCCTGCCCCGGAACGGCGGGACGGGACTTCCTGTGCATCAGCTTCTGAGCCGTGGGTTCCGGGAAGGCTCCCAGAAGGCTGGCTGCGGGCCGCGGGCGCCTTTACGGGCTGCACCCCTGTCGGGCTCTCAGTGGCCCAGTGTCGCCTGGACATCAGACCCAGGGCTCTGAACTCAGACCCACGGCAGCAACGGGAGCTTCAGCACGTGGGCAGAGGCGACGCGGTTTCCCTATGAGCGCCCTATTTCTTGGCAAACGCGGCCGCCCACACTGGTCATCCGACAGTCCCCCCCCTCCCTCCATCTACCCCCCAACCCTGAGAATGTCCACAGTCGTAGCCCAGATGGGAATGTGCAACACTGACCTCTGACCCTTGCTCCTCGAAAAGCGGGGCCTGAGGACCAGCAGAGTCTCAGCCCCACCCCCATCACCCTGCATCTACCCCGCTGGGTCAGAATCTGCATTTTAAAAGCTCTCCAGGAGGGATCTGTGTGCACCGGGAAGTTCAGGGCAAGCTAAGTGCCTCTGCTCCATTTCAAGGGTAAGAGGAGGCCAGGTAGTTGCAGCTTTGAGTCATGCAGAAAGAGGGGGAGGGCTCCTCTTTCTCTTGTTTAAGTTTTCTCCTCCACGTTCTGACCCCAGGAGAATTGAAGAGTCCTGGGTGCCAGCCTTCTGCCCCCACTTGGGCTAGGAGGCTGAGACCTGCCCCCATCACCTCCCTGCCCTCATCTCCTCTTTTCTCCCCCCGGGTCACTCAGTCCCAGCCGTGGTGGCCTTCTCCATATTCCCCCAAACACACCCCGCACACTCCTGCCCCGGGGCCTCTGCACCCACTGCTCACTCTCCTAATTTACTCTCTCCCCAGACACCCAGATGATCCCCTTCCCCACTTCCTTTAGGTCTTTACTCAAAGGTCACAGCCTTCAATCCCTTTGCCTGCTTAATGTTTGGGTCTTTAGCCCATGTCCACAGTCAGACATCTGCTGTGCTGCTCGGGGCCCGCCCCGTGAAACCGCAAAGCTCTGTGCAACCAGGGATTTCTGTCTCCTTTGTTAATTGCTTTACCTCTGCGCCTAAGACAGCACATAGTAGGTGCTTAATAAACACCTCTGGAGGGAACCAAGGAAGGAGGGTCCTACTTTCTGCATCTTTCATCTCAGGCCAAGTCTCCACGGGCACGTGAAGGACACAATGAAGCCCCCTGAAAAACGCAATGGTGTAGAATCCTTGGTGCCCAGACGACAAAAAGATGGGAGCGCTGAGTTCCTGGCATGGGAGGAGGTGCCTCACCCCAGGCAGAAGTCAAAGTTTGCACTGGGTAGTCGGGCTGGGGGAGGTGAGGCTTTCTCAGCCCGGCCTCAAGT